TATAAATTTTTTTTTTTTTTAAATTTTATTTTTGATTTAAAGTTTTTTTTTTTTTTACAAAAGTTTTGTTTATTTTCTTAATTTTTTTTTATTTAAATAAAATTTGTTAATTTTTATTTTAAAAAAATTTGTTAATGTTTTTGTTTTTATTTTATATTATTTTTTAAAGTTAATTCTGTTTTACATTTTCTTTTGTATTTATTTAATTTATCTTAATCAAAATTTAAAATTCCTCCTCCATCTATAAATTGTTCAAATCTCAGGTAGTGGAGCGTCCTGAGTGTGATGTACTCATTCAAATCACTTCGTGTTCGCAATGCCACAACTGTTCGGTATTACTCTACGATGAGGAGATTATGTCCGGTTGGTCAGCCGAGGATTCCAACTTGAATACAACCTGCCATGCATGCAATAAATTAACCGTGCCATTCCTGAGCGTGCAAATTGTGGTTGACGACTCCTTGAAGGCGCTTAAACAATCAGACAGCTTAACAATTCCATATCTTAATCCGCTAGTGTTGCGTAAAGAGCTCGAAAATATACTTACACAGGAGGGTGATATTGCGCTGGTGAAGCCAAGCTTTGTGGAAGAGCATCCAATCATATATTGGAATCTATTGTGGATCATGGAACGTATCGAGAGTAAAACGCACTTGCCGGAACTTTGTCTGCCCGTAGCGGTTGGTGTTTTATAATTGTTGCTGTTTATTTGTTTTCACCAATTTACTTTTTCTTTCTCCATATTCAGTCTGATGAAGAGTGCGATCCGCTCAGCAAAGTGAAGACTGTCAGCATTCAATGCCTGTGGGACAATTTAAGACTACACAGCGAAGCCGGTCCGCCCATGTATATACTGCATAAACAAAATCAGCCAGCCAGTCCGCTACTGAAAGCGCTACTCACCGATCAGGCGCATTTGAATAAGAAGTAACTCGCTCTTTATTCATTTTTATGCTCACATTTATTTATTGCTGTTGATTTTCTCTTTTCACTTTAGTGTCATTCAACAAATCATTTCAGCCATACGCTGCAATGATCTTTTAACGCCCGTCAAGCGCTTGGCTAACGAGCGCCACAAGTTGCAGAATAACGGCGTCAATCGTACACACTCCATCTATCGTGATATACTCTTTTTGGCGCTCACCGCCATCGGGCGCTCCAATGTCGACTTGGCCACATTCCATCGCGAATACGCTTCGATCTTCGACAAGTTAACCGAAAAGGAATGTAAAATGTTCTACCGCAATCAAGATCTGCCACCATCGGCGGCAACTATCTTTTGTCGCGCCTACTTTAAGCCGTTATTGCTTCCTTGACGTGAAATCAATTATATACAGCACGATTTCCACAACAACAACAACAACGCGAAGACAGCAAATACAAATGCACACGAAGATGACATGACGGAAGCGTTAAGTGTTGTTGCAGTGGATTACTAAAACAGTAAACTTTACAACCTGCATACCGAGAGCAAGCGCGCAAGTGCTGTTGTGTAATATGAAAATGTAAATTGAATTATGATATGATAATAACGTGGAAAGCAAGTAAGATATACGATGATGCTGTGGTTTTGAACGGAAATGGCAATGTTAAGACGGTACTTATTAACATTTCAGGCTTGTGTTTAATAAATGTGTGAGGTTTTTGGGGACGCATGCGTGTGTGTATGAATGCCGAGAAATCACGATTACACTTCGAAAGTTTAAAAAATAGTTTATTGAATGAAATTATGCCACATAAATACATATTTATAACGGAGCTTTTCTGTCCACCTTATGGCCTTGAAATTAGTTATGTTTAACGTTTTATTTTATGCAGCGCTGGCTTTTTTTATGTTACACATAAAGCTGAATGTTAGAAAAGACAATATTGATATAGAAATTGTATAAAATGAATTAAGAAAACTTTTTTTCATTTCACTAAAAATCAAAACAATATAAAATATTGTTTTTTTAAGATTTCTGTTTATTAACAAAGGTTTATTATCATTAACTAATTTTATTTTATTCACAAAAAATTGTTAAGAATACTTTTATTAAAAAAATGTATGTGTTAACAGTTCATTTTTTATTAAACATATTTTGTTTTTATTAACCCTTTTTTTTCTTATCAAAAAATTTTTTTATATCATTTTTTTTATAAAATTTTTTTTTATTAATTTTTTATTATTTTTTATTAAATTTTTTGTATTAAATTATTTTTTAATTTTATTTTTATTTTTATTTTTTTTATAAAATTTAGTTTTTAACAATTTTTTTATTAACAATATAACGCAGCAATTTTTAGTTTGCTGCCTCGAAAGCTCTAAATTAGAATATTACAAATTTATTTCCAGTAATTTTTTTTTTAACGCAATGGCATACACATAGTTAACTTAACATAGCTTTTTTCTTTATCTTATTTAACTATTTAATTCGTTCCAAATATTTTAAATGGTGAAATATTTTTATATAAATACAGAATTTATTTTTTAATTTACTACTTAGTTTGTTAACTAAATTTTGCTACATAAAAAATTTAATTTTACCACTTAAAAATATACACTGTTATTCTTGGTATAGAATTTAATAGAAATTTCGAATTTCTTCAGTTCTTTTTTTTACTCTTTTTTTACAAAAAATGTTGATGCTTTAATACATTTTTTATTGCTCATTGCTCGAAATTTTAATATTTTCCAACGCTCATCTTTACTAAATTTAATTTAGCATGATTCCTCCATAATTTACGCAATCTTTTAATGATAATAATAATAAATATATAAGCGAACGAGTTTCGTTTTCAATAATTAGGTGAAGTGTGTGCAAACGTGTTTGAATGAGTGAAATGAATAGTAAATGAATCGAAAAACAAAAAAAAATTAATAAAAAGAAAGATAAAAGCTGGTATTGGTACGATTTTCGGTAATGGTACTTAAAAAGCATGAAAAAATCGAAAAAAGAAATTCCTTTACGTAACTTAGCTTTAAAGCGCACTCTGTACTTCGTCATTTCCTACACAACTAGCGATAATACTGCAGATTGACTGCCCTAATCAGCACTTACCACTGATGGCTATAACAACAATAAGTCGACGTCAGCAGCATCCACGCAACCACGCATCATTTTAGGCTAGTTTTTAGAGACAATACACTTTCGTGCTCATTTTGGTATTTTGTACTTTTTCGTAAACCTACTCGTAAATATGTAGCATGTATGTATGTAGGTATAATTATGTAAACTAAGTGTAATTTGTTTTTTTTTTCGGAAATGCACTGATATCACTCTCAGTCACTCGCTAAATACCCGTAATCCGTTCATTCGTAATTTGCCTTATTATGGGACGCACCAAACACTAATCAGCAGCCGAAACGAACGCACTCACACAGAACTTACTACTTAATTTAGCAACTTCAATTTGTGAGCGCTGAGTAGCCTAAAATTTAATAATACATAAATAAATGTGTGAAATCAATCAACCAAATGAACAATATTAATAATAACAAACTAAAATTCAGTTATTGTTACTTATTGTAAGCATAATTATGTATTTTAATATCATATACAGACAAAGATAACGGCGAACTTACTTGCATACATATATATAATCAACTACGTTTGGTCGGTTAAAAACTATACCTATGTATACTATACAAAATAAATTTAATTATGATAGACATATATATGTATCTCCAAGTTAGCGTTTATGAGCAGAAAACAAAACAAAACAAAAAATCAAGAAGTTCATACTTATATTACAACATTAACAGAAAGAATATCCTTTAGAAATGTTTTACAACTAAATATGTTTACATAAAATAAATAAAAATTATCACTATACAAAAATTTAAAAGGATTCTTATTATTAAATAGTAAGTAAAATGGTTTCTCTACTACACAAACACTTTCTAACTCGTTAAATCGTGGTGTGGATTCAAAACACAAGTCTGATTTTTTAATAATTGCACCCTGAACACAGTGTATTAAGCTTGCCACGAAGTTTGTGACACACAGAAGTAAATGTCGGAAGCCCTATAATATATATGTGCATACATATATAATCAGCATAACGAGCTGAGTCCATTTAAATATATGCGTCTGTCTGTATATACGCGAACTATTTCATCAGTTTTTGGAGATATCGATCTGAAAATTTGCGCCCATTCTTTGCGATGGAACGATTAAACTTAAGTCCACGTATAGAAAACTTTTTTTTTTGGACAAGGCATCCACGAAATTTGCCAATAATTATTGTTCAAGGTAACGCTTCAATTTCCGAATATATTGCTCAGATCGAACGCTTGAATCTGTGAAGGGTATTATCGCTTTAGTTAACGTTTTTTCTTGTTTATTTATAGTGATGTATACAATATTTGAAATTACATCGTACCAGTGAAAATTCAATCATATAATCTTTTATGCAGGAATGCAAACTTTAAGACATACATATATACATACTCGTACATAAATGTCAGCTATGCTAACCGTGGTTTAAGCGCCCAGCAACTGCACAAACCTCAATTTGTTCATAATTTATTTCTAAGTGTTTTATTAATTTTAAACTAAATAATAAACATCAGCACAAGGTTGCATTTTAATGTCGTAAAGCCTAAAGCACAATTCAGATTTCTTTTAATGTTCAAATGCGATTTAAAAAGCTTTTTTAAACTTTACTTGGTGCCAAGCGTAAGTCACGCCGTTTGGCATTTGTGACTCGATTTGAATTCAAACCTTTTACGCACAAAAAGGAAATTTCGCACAGGGTGTTACCGGATAAAACAAAATACATATCCGCCTTGTGAAGCTTTACAAACATAAGTACTTTTATTTCATGTTTAATGCTGTTATAACAAAACAATTAGCAATATAATGAAATTAATATTTACCAATTCCAAATTAAAACTACTTATAAATCACAACCATCATTAAATTATCAAATTAAACGAATGAATAACCAAAACAAAGAAAACATCGAAATACTTGGAAATGCAGCAATTGGAAAGTTAAAATAACGGAAGTTAACATCTGACATTTTGTTTCCATTATTTCGCTAAAAAATTCAACAGTTGGCCGGCCAAAACGATAATTTACGAATGCTAAAATTTGATTGCGCTGTGCATAAATATTTTTGGGGGGCAGTGATGGGTTTAAACTTTTGGCATCAATAATAATAAAAAAATGATTGCAAAGCCATAACCGTACATAAAATGCTATACCAATAAGTGTAAATGGTTACTTAATAGTTTACTTTAAACACTTGTATTAATACATAAGTAAAGTGTTGGAATCCTTTTTTTTTCTTCGCGAAAAAATGAAGGACTTCTATAAAATGCATAACTAAAATGCCAATCGCAAAACTAAGTACTTCAAGAATAGGGAAATATATTTAAAACTTAATATATGTATGTGCATATATTTATTGTTTACTAATGGTATTTGTACTGTTTTTTGTTTGGTGGATAATTTAAGAAAAATATCTTACCAAAAGACATTACCAAAAAACGACAACTGTAAAATAAAATGTTACACCTAGAATGCGCTTCGCAAAAAAGCCGGTTGCTATAAAAGTGTTTTGTGATTTTTTTTTTTTTTATGAACGACAAAAGTGTGATTGTGATTTGTGTGTATGGAATAAGTTCGCAAAAGTGAACGCAAGCGCATCTTAGATCTAAATGCCACCCGCTCATTGGTAAGTTCAAAAAATTCAAAAATCTTTCTGTTGTTAACTGAACTATTTATCTAATTCTACCAACTACAAGTAGTCTAAAACATTTTCCTAAAAACTTAAAGAAAAACATCGGAGACAATATAAAGTATATATAATATATAAATGATCAGTGTGTTGTGCTGAGTCAATTTAGCCAAGTCCGTCTGTCAATTAATCCCTCAGTTTTTCAGATGCCGATGTGAATTTTAACACACGTCCTTTCTCCCCAAGAAGCTGTTTCTTTGTCAGAACGGCCGATATAGAACCGCTATAAGATATATGCAGCTGCCGTACAAACTGATCGACCAAACTCAAGTCCTTGCATGGAAAAAAAATTTTTTGTCACGAAATTTGGCACAGATCATTGCTCAAAACAACGGCACAAACTCCGAACAAATTTTTCAGAACGGACAATTATAGCATCTACCTGTCATACAAACTGAGCGATCAAATTCAAGATACAAGCTATTTTTGTACCCTTTATGCTATAAAAATGCACATGTGGCAATATTCTACGTTATTCTTATAAAAGAAAACTTAAAAAGCTTTGGCTGCTATTAGCATACAATCTAGTATAAATAATTGAAACGTACGAAAGTAATTGATATAAAAATAATCGCTTTCAAAGCATTTATTTGTAGTAGTATTACAGTTTTTGGTAATTCAAAAGCACTTAAATTTTATATAGTAAGATTCTGTATGGCATATAAACGTTTATTTGCTTTAAAACTTAGCAGCAATATTTATTATAAACTATTTATAATATTCGATTGTTTATATGTGTTTTAAAATTAAATGTTTTCGAAAATTCAAATAAAAAATTTAATATTCTTGAGTGAGTAATAATGAAATTATAAATAATGCATGTTAAATGTTCAAAATTTAGGAAGATGCACTGTGTGCCATTTGAGTGCGATTAACGTCACTCCTAAGCCAACAAACAAACAAGCCAATTTATATGGCTTGAAATTCACAGACACCCGCTCTCAAAACAGCTCCACAGTCGGATCGCATAAGTCCTCACTATTAACTATCGGCGTATATGTTTGAAATAAATTGCGTTCATCATCAGATTCGTCATCGCTGCTATAACCGTCATTGTGATTTAATGCTGCTGTCTTTTGTAATATCATTTCCAATTGCTGTTGTGGCAGCAACTTCTCCACTTCTGCCAAATCGATCGCATTCAAGTTATACGTGAGCCAAGTATAACGCAACGTTTGTTGCAACAAACGTGGCCATTTCATAAAAACACCCTTAACCAAGCGCACAAGCACATTTAGACCGCGTATTTCATGCGAAACTAGCGAAGGCTCAACCAAACCAAGCAAATTTAACACTAACGCATGTGGCACATCTTGTATATTAGCTGAGAATATCAATGTATCTGATGTAACTTCGAGATAATAGTCAACAACATCGGGCGCATGTATGACAAGGTAAATGAAACAGTCTGTATCGTACCAGGAGAGCTGCGGACGTTTGTGATTCGCCTTTAAAGCTGGTGGTGGCGTTAAAGAGTTTGTAGACGAAGATGTGGTGTCCAAAGCGGTCGATGTGGAGTTGAGTGTAGCACTACAGTTGTCGCTAATGCTTGATGTTTTGTTGGACGATAGTGGTGGTTCTTCTTCATTGCCGCTTGAATTCGGTGTGAATTTTGATTTTAATGGTTTATAAGCCAGCGGTTTGTTAGTGCGCTCTGGCAACTTTTCAATACTTTCCGTCGCCGCTTGTATAGGCGGTTCAATTGCTAGTAGCGGTGATTTAGTGCTCGTATCAGCAAACTCACACAACTCTAACTCAAAGGAACGTTGTATGCATTGTAGCAGCTCATCGAAATTACATAAATCTTTAGGCGCTTTAGGCGCTGCTATACGCTTTTGAAAAACCTCTTTGGCTGACTCATTCGCAGTGGCAACGCCATTTTCTATTAATTTATTATTGAACAATTCAATGGTTTGCAAATTGTCTTCCGTTTCATTCTCATACAATAGTATTTCATAGGAATTTATATTGAAATCGGCGATAGTTGAGGTTAATGCACAACCGCTCGCTTTCACAGCATATGCAAAGAGATAATCTTTGGTGATTTTATAGCGTTTTGCAAACTTATTGAAATTTATGCCAGCTAACCGGCAGTGTATGGCTTGATAAGGCGTGAATTCCAGAATTTCTTTTGTGGTGGGATATAGGAAATCCTTGTACAACTCATCCGATTTAGCCATTACGAAGCATGCATAATCACAAAGAAAGAAGCGGTAAATTGTGCTAGGTGCGGCATTAGCTGGCGCCTTATTGCTGAAGATGCCATACAATTTGGCGCGTAAATAACGGTTATCATGATGTATTATACAATTCTGCATTGGTTTGAACCACGAGGCGGGGAATGGCATTGCCGGCTTGCGTTTCAATTTGGCAATGTGTTTATTAATTAGCAATAGTAGTTCATCAAATTTATCCAATTGTTCGCTGTCGATGTGTTGCAAGTAAATATCGCTCCAATTACCATTTTCGTCCTCACTGCCGATTTCCACTTTTACCATTTGCTCTAAAGGCAATTCCAGCCACGCTTCCTTGCCGTTTATAGAGGTTAGGATATCTGTTGAAATAAGTTTGTCATTCTCTGTTGTCGGCAGTGTTGTTATTGTGGAGGCTTCGTCTTCTTCGATCTTAATAGTTGTTTGTAGTGGTAAGTAAATCTGGAAAATGTAGCGTATTAGTGCCTTAGTCGAGTGTGCTTCAAATGTATGGTGTTATGGTTAGAGGCTTCACAGTCGAAAGTCGAATCGAATGGGCAGTATTTTGTTGAAAGTTATAGCAAAAATCTTTACGTGCAAAAATATTTATGAATAATGTTGTAGAAGACACAGTTTGCTAAATTAATTTATGCATTACTTTACACTTTTAACTTATATTTAATAACTTTCAGTTATTTGATATAATTATTTTATATTACACTGACACATTAATATAATATTTATTATGTATTACCCGAGTTGCGTTTGTTTTATTTAAAAAATTGTAGATTATAATTTGAAAATTTAATTATTTAATGCTTCGTAGTTAAAAATTAAATTCTCTTTTTTTTGTTGCTCTAATTTAAAAAAAAATATTTTTATCAATTTTTTATTCTGATTTTGGACTCAAAAATTAAATTTCATTCTTGTTTTGTTTTTGGTTACATCAATTTTTGTATAAAAAAAAATTTGAGCAATTTTTAATTCTGTTATTGGAATTAAAAATAAATTAAAAATTTTTTTTTTTTTGTTTTAATAGTTTAAATAAAAACAGAAGATTTAATTTAATTTATAATATTTTGATAATTGATAAAATATTTTTAATACAAAAATTGGTATAACAAAAAAATGGAAATTTAATTTTTGGATTGTTTTTTTAATACAAAAATTGGATTAACAAATAAAATTAAAAATATTTTTCATATCGAAAGCTAGAATGAAAATGATTAAGAAAAAAGATTTACTGAAAAACTCTTAGTTATAGTAAAGAAATTAAATGTAAAACAAAGTGCTAAACTATGTTGATATTTTATTCAAAATAAGCTTTCCTTTTCAAAAGATAATCAAAATGCTAGAACAAAAACTACGCAAACGCGAAAAAATATTATTTGTAAAACAATTTATTTTTTTTATTATTCTTAATTACAAGCTTGGGTTTAAAATGGATTTAATTATTTTTTATGGCTTTATTTGCAATTCTGTTTGAGATTAAGATTTTTTTTAAACTGGTTTTTATGATAAAAATTTAAATATTTTAATTTAATCCGATTTTTGGAAATAAAATATATTTTTAATTTTTCATACCGATATTTGGGATTAGAAATTTTAAAATAAATTTTAATTAAGATTTTGCGTTAAATATAAAATAATTTATATTAATTTAAAAGCATTATTTGCAACCCTGTATACTACATATGTATGCTAAATATGTTGTTATTTCGACTGTGTTTCTACATTGCTGCTATATTGTGTTGTTCTTAGAAAATAATATGTTAAGTACATCACATGTGATTTAGTAAACTCCTACGTTGCCGATGCCGCAGCACACGTTTGCCAAATTTCAATTGTTGCACACTAACCTCTTTAGCGTTATTAGCATTATCATTCAACTGCGCATCCCAATCTTCCACATCATCATTCACATTCTCGTCACCGATTTGTATTAGCGAATTTGATTCCGCCACTTCTTGCGTATTTGCTGCTTGCCTCTGCACTTGTTGCAACTTCTCACTTTCGGCGGTGTCGTCGTTCGAGGAGAATTTCATAAGATTACTTGTATCATTCTCACTGAAGCTTTTGAATTCACTCTCAGAGTCACTGAGCGTGTCTGCTTCGTCGCTATAAGCAAGCAATCCCAACTCCTCAGCTATTTCGCGTATACCCTGTCTTTTGCTATCACCCACATCGGCTATATTTTTCTCCATCAATGAGCGTTTCAAGTTCACACGATACACATATTGTCCCACTTGTTCCAGTTGCTCCATGACAATGACATTGTTCACCCAAATTGTATCGATTAGCGTGAAGTTAATGCTTACATGCACGCATTCATTCTTTTTTATATCGCTCATTATCCATTGCTGTACAGTTTTAGTGGCCTTCGTGTCCCAGGTGCGTTCGTTGTCGAACGGCACAACCCCCGTTAGGCGTATATTTATGGCTTGTGCAGGAAAATCTTTGAATTTATCAGCACACACGTAGAGTTCATCCGATTTAACGCTCGATATAATGCTGCCCTCATCGATTAGTTTGAGCGTAAGCTTTATCGCTTTAATAATAGCGGTATTAGATACGTCAGGCAGCTCAAGTATACGCGCGCGTTGATATGTCTCAGCATATTTGTAGACACACAAATCGCCGATATGTAGCGGCCAAAGCAGATTCCAATTTTCCTGTTTCAAATAATGCAAATTTAATTGCATGCTGAAATTGCAGACCTCCGGCGAGCGTCGAACATCTTGCCATTTATTAGAGTTGGCTGTACGTTGTTGTAGTAGACGTGCAGCATAGTGCGTGGGTGAAAAGACCTGCAAAAATAGGAAATATATTTTTTTTTTTGAATATATCATCGCGCATCATAATATCGAGATATACCTTTAATATGAGTATGCGCATATCGCCGTTGGTCGGTATTCTATCCTTTTTAACGACCGCATCGAAACGTGTGAGGTTATGTCGAAATTCACAACGCGCTTCATCGCATTCGCCGAACTCCAGAACAAATGGACACATGCGTGCGCCATGTAGTATGCGCGCCTCTTCGCGCTCGACCAAAACGCGCTTGGACACGGCCAAAATGTCGGCGTGTATAAATTTCAATTGATCATGCTTCTTCATAAAATCCATTAAACGCGGCAATTGTATGCTATTCTCCTCATCAAGCAGTATTAGTGAGCGCGCTGTAGGGCGATCCACGCCAGTGGGAATTTCGAAATTCTTACTCACATAGTTATCATAAGTTTGCGCTAAAGCAGAGAAACGTGCTGTAAACTTAGTCCAAGATGTGGGCATTGAATAGTGTATGACATGTGAGACATTCTGTATTTGCAGCTCGGGAAATGAGGAATCGGCGCACACTAGTATGCGTGATGACATAACCTAAAAATAAAATTTAAAAAAAAATAAAAAATATTTATTATTTTGTCTTCAAAACATTTTAAAGTTACATTTAATACCTTCTTCTTGCGCCACTCCTCGATTATTGTGCGCACATCGGCTGAAGCATGATTGTCATAGGCAATGCAGACATGCGCCGAAGTGGTGAGGCCATCCACGACCTCATAGACATCGTCATCGCTGTTGCACAGCACCAGTATGCGTTCGTTTTCGAGCGAATTCTGTTCGATGAATTCCAGAACTGTGGTTATCTTGCGCTCGCTGGGACAGAGCTTGATGGATATCATAACTCTGCCATACACGGCGGCTTCAAGGAAATCCCCAATCAAAAGCAACGGTTGATTGGATTTACGCATAAGCGCCACAAGCAGGGAATCCCAATCGCGTGATGTCACCACTAATTGCCAAGCCATTGCAGAGTCCTTACCCCGTTTGGATAGTTTAAATAAGGTCTTCAATACCAATTCGATATCGTTCTGCGAACGCGAGAGCATTAAATCCAAATCATCGATGACCAAATGCTTTAAACGCTCCATATCAATTAAAGGTTCCTGCTCATTATCACGCAACAAACGCAGCAAACTAGCCGGCGTTGCCACCAATATGCCACAACTATTGAGCAATTGTATTTTAGCATCATTCGCATTTCGTACACCATACGAAGCAACCGTGGTCACTGCCGGACGTACGCCTAACAGTAAACGCTTGCAATAATTATGCACAATTTCGACGTGTGCCGAAGTCGGTAGCAGTATAATGGCGACTGGACCATAAGTCTCGGCAATGCGACAACTTTGTATGCGATAAGCAACGAGACTGCAAATAGCCGGCAAATAACTCCATGTTTTGCCTGACTTGTGTGGATTTACGACAAACATTGAATTACCACGTAGCAGGTGTGGCCAGGCGTAAGCTTGTATGCGATACAATTTTGTCACGCGCATATTTTCCATTTCGTCGTGTATTTCCTTTAGAAAGAATGCCTCTGAAATTCTTGTGAGCGCCGTTAGCGGTACATTCGAATGCGCCAATACCAAGTGATCAATAAATTTGGTTTTCAACTTGTGTTCACCCTCCACAGCACGCAGCTCTTTAACTTCTGGCAAGTGTATACGAAAGATTTCGGGTTTTGTTGTATTCAATTCGTTGGTTAATTTGTCTTCGATTTGTTTCAAATGTTCCTGTTGTGCTGCTAACTTTTTCAGCAGCCGATTTCTGATGAGTGAACGTTTATTAGATGTAGAATTATGTTCCAAATCCATATCGTCATTATCGGTTGTAGTGGTGCCGTTTGTACCATCATCAGCCGAATATAGCTCCGTGTTGTCCGAATCATCCTTGCAAGCGCTAGCATTGACATTGTCCAGGTCTAGTATCTCGCTATTACCGCCTGCTTTTTCATTATAGGCAGAACGTAGTATTTCATCGATTTTATTCATTTGTGTAGCGGGCGATTTTAACGAACGATAGCGTCCATACTTTTTTGGTGCAGGTGAGCTTAAAATGACAGTGATTTGTTAAAAAAAAATAAGAAAAAATGTTAACTTCGGTAGCACCGAAGCTATAATACACTTCACAAATACAAAAAATTGCATACAAGAATTTGATCGGTCAGTTTGTATGGCAGCTATATGCTAATGTGGTCCGATTTGAGCAATTTGTTCGAAGATAGTAGCATGGCCTTGAACAATATTACACGCAAAATTTCAGAAAGATATCTTATCAAATAAAAAAAAATTTCCATACAAGGACTTAACTTTAATCAGTCAGTTGTATGGCGGCTATATGCAATAGTAATTCGATCTAAACAATTTCTTCGAAAATTGTAGCGTTGCTTTGAACAATAATCTCTGCCAAATTTCGTGCAGATAACTCGGCAAATAAAAAAGTGGTCCATACAAAAACTTGATTATGATCGTTCGGTTTATATGGCAGCTATATGCTATAGTAGTCCGATATCAGCGGCTTCGGCAAATGAGCTGCATCTTAGGGAAACAAGGACGTGTGGAAAATTTCAGATCGTTATCTCGAAAACTATAGGCAGAATACACTCAGATTGGCTAAATCGACGCCGGTTGTCAGCCTGATCATTAATATATATATTTTATAGGGTCTCTAACCTTTCCTTCTGTGTATTACAAATTTAATATATCCTGTTGAGGGTATAGATATTGAAATTAAAATGATTTTTGCCACTTACCTGCTGCTACTGTAAGGTGACAGCTCCTCTGGCGTGGTAGACTCTTTGCTTTTGGCCTCCGAAGTTATGCTAAAATCTATGGGGTCTTCGCTTAACTCTGGCACTGTGGTATCTAATATATTATCCTGTTTTGTTGTGCTTGCTGCAGTTTCAACTGCTTTGGATCCAGCGCTATCAGGTAACTTGTATTCTCTAGTCATTTTCATTTCCATTGCCACCACATTCGCGTCGTGTGGCACGTGATCAAAACGCGTAGTCGCCTTGCGATGCCAATGATTTTTCTCGTCTTTATAGTGATTTAAATTGGTTATATCAAAACCGGCCGGTATCATGCGTAAACCATGGAAGGTGTTGCTTTCTTTTAAGGTCTTTAGCATGTGCATAGAAATAAAAATATTATTTAAGCTATACAGAAATATATTTTCGAAACATTTTATACGCACCTCAGTAGTCGGACGTGAACGGTTATTGGTTAATGCGAAATATGAGTCTGGCTTTACATCCTGAATCTGAAATAGATCGTTTCATTTCTTTTACCCTAGTGTTTTGTTAAGTTATAGGCTACTCCAGTATAAAATCAGTTACAGCCGATATTTAATTTTAAGAAATCCATAATCATTTACATATTTATATGTATGTTTATTTGAAATAAATCATATAAAATTTTTTTTTTTTACATGCGTGTTGTTAAATTATATGTTGTATTTCCAATATTATTTTGTTAACAGCTAAGAGTTATTAATAAAAATAAAAAAAAATATTTTAAGGATAATGTATTCTACATATATAGGTGCAACTCACAAAAAACGTGCTTATTAAAATTTACTGCTACCAAACGCTTTTAATTTACCTCTTTATTGTGTAAAAATGCGCGTTTAATAACTTGTTTTTGTTGCTTTGGCTCGCTATGCTGCACAAAATGCATTATTTATACATATATACTAATTTTTTAAAGTCATACAAGTTAGCTTTAGCTTGACTGTTGAACATTTTCGAGCATTACCTTTTTGCGCAAGTTTAACAAACGACCAATATGTGCGCTGGACTTAGCGGGAGCAGTGGGCGCTGCGCTCTTTTCAACCAACTTCTTTAATGGTGCCTGGTCTTGACTTTTGGAAGTAGGTTCTTCTGCAGAGCTTTCTTGTTTCGGATTTTCATTATTTTCCGCTTTAAGCTTTTCTAAACGTTGCTGTAAAAATGTATATATTTATGTATTACTGAATTATTTTGCTAAAAAACTATGTTGTAATACCTTGCGTAGATATTCCATACGTTTGGATGAGACGCTTGTTGTTTGTGGTGTTAGTTCATTGGTAGATGTGCTGTCAGTGGTGCTTTCTTCCTGCTTCATTGATGCCCGTTGGCGATTGAGTAGATGTCGTTTTGCACGAGTATTGGTTACATTTGTTGAAACCACGCTGGCATTAATACTGCTGCTTTCGCTATTCTCTGTAATAGTTTCTCGCTTAAAAATAAAGGAAAATATAAAAATATTAAAAAAAAAAGAAATTCACACAACGCAATGTTCTATCTGCTCATAAGAACCAGAGTTGCGAGTTTTTTAATTCAAACATTTTTTATTAAAAGTCTCCTATTGGGGTTTACAGTATACAAAATTTTTTAATCAAATGTTCGATGAAATTTTTTTTTTTCAATACATTATTTGCAACCCTGATAACAACTAAATTATTTTTCACATACCGTATGCTTTTTAATATCAGATTCCGCCGTAGTGCTTGCGTTGGATATTAACTCTATAAGGTTATTCTTGTTAATTTCTGGTTTTAAAGTTAACTCTTGCAGCTTGTCGGTTATAATTGATTCATCAGTTTGTTTGTTGTTTATCTGTGCAGAAATTATTTTGTATTCAACAATTTAGTTTTATAACTAAAATATTTTACCTGTTTGCGTTTTTCCAACAACTTTTGCTTTCTAGAAACTCCGCTTCTTGTGGATGCTAACGATTCTACACCACTGAGCAATTTTTCTTTATCATGCGGTACATTTTCTTTGAATGCTTCCTTTTCGGCATCAGCGCACACGTCAAAATCAGTACTTTTTGGTTTTGGTGGTAATTGCTGTTTACCATACTTTTCCTCTAGTGATTTCGACAATGTACCAGCTAAGCCCAGTTGCTGTTCAGTTATTTCACAATTACCCAGAGAATTGTCGGATTCGTTGTCACTCGGTAATTTTTCAAATTCAATACATTTTTTGTTTTCTTTAGTAAGTTCCACAGTCTCAACATTGTTTAGAGTGCCTACTTCATAGTCTTTGTTTGATACTGAATCGTCGAATTTGACGCTGTCCAGTAATATGTCGTCTTCGAAATCTGCGATTTCTTGAAGAATAGCTATCTCATTTCTTGCACACCAATCTTCTACTTTTTTCTTTGCATAATCATCCAATTCGGTGCTAACTAATTGTTGTATCTTTTTATTATCACGTCCTAGACCTTCACACAAAAAGCCTTTATTTGCACTAAATTTACTGTTACCACTATTTGTCATCCATGGCAAAATTTTGGTGGCTTTCAAATTAACACACGCCTCACGAAAATTCGGACCAACATCTAGCGCCAAACTTATGCCAATTAAATAATCACGCACATTACATTTATAGCCCACATGCGTGGTTACTATTAGATCACCCCAAAAATGTACGTCGTGCCGAAATTTCTCAACAAATACAACCGATTCTGATTCGTTCAATAGTTTGTCCACCAATTCACATGCACGTTGACTCCAATTCTCTTTGGCATTTGTTACCGCAGAATTCATGCGAAAATCAAAATCCTTTTCGGCTGGTGTTAAATATGCCAATCCTCCACGTTGTATATGTGCCACTGGACGTGATAATTTATCGGGCAAACGAAATATTTGTTCAGACTTTGTTTGAAATGGAAATCCGTAATCAATGGCCCACATAATATATTCACCTCCTTGCGTATTTTTACTGAAATTTGCAATGTGTTCAACACGTGCTCTTATCATTTTATGCCAAGATAGGAATTTTACAGCCACCAGCATGTCAACTGCCGGCTTATGTATCGCTTGCGTCCATGGTTGATGTGTTTGATAATATTGTTCAAGCTGCTCTTCCAGCTCCTTAATTTCGTGATAAGCTGGATTTGGCACACTAATTGAATGAAACCAAAACAGTTGCGGATTAATGAAGTGCGTCACAGAAACATGTTTATCCTTTTCCGAAGACATCTTTTATGTCACACAAAGTACTCTATGCTTTTATAAACTTCATCAGAAAACTAAATATTTCCAGTAAACGATAGCAATACACCTGGTTGTAAAAACGTATCCTTCAAATACCGTTAAGATAAAAACAAAGAGAAGATTTATTGCATTGCTTCCGAAAAGTACAATAACGCAGGCTAGGTATGCCGCTCACAAATCGATTATTTGAAAATTTTCGATAATTATCGATACTTAGTGCATTTAGTATGCGTTGACACTTCAAAAGTATTGGTTTAGAAAAAGTTAGAACTGGATATATAATTAATTATAAAATATTTTTAAAAAATGCTCATTTAAAAATACAATAAACGAATGAATGTAGAGAAAAATATTTTGAATTCCCAAATAACTGTATAATTACAAATACTCAATGTAATGTTTGCCTACCACGATAATATTCGTAAAATTTACCGCCACAGACACCCGAGTTACAAATATCTGTGAATTACAATATATAGTGAATGAGTTTAATATTGGGCTCAGGTGTTGAATGATTGATGATCCGCAAGAGCAAATGGCTTAAAGAACTAAACATATTGAATTGAATACATAGAGAGAAGTATGGAATAAGAATGTGATAAGATAAGCTGTTTTGCATTAGAATGACTCAACACCATTTCTTTCCGTTTTGTCACTCTCACTATTTCAACGTCTGAAACTACTCTCAATACAGTGCTTCAATTGAACGCTGAATCTGGATAAATTGCTTAATGAGTGTTGGCAGCACTATTTCCAAATCCAAAAATAAAAACTAGACCTTCACATTTCACATTACTGATGATGTCTAAACTAACACATTCCATAAAATCTCAGATGTTTAAAGGCGTCATAAATGCAATACATGTACGAGTATGTATGTACACAAATATGTCGAGTATGTGTTTATGGCAATGTGCTCTTGATCTATTTTATTTGTTTCAATTTTACATTTTTCGAGCAAGAAATTAAAAAATAAACAAATTTGCACTATAGTATGTACATATGTATATATATTTTCACATGTTAACTTGGAATTCGCATTCAAACTACAAATACATACATATATAATAGAGGCATATATGTATGTACATATGTTTTTACAGATATCGTAAACAAGTCTTAAACCTAATAATATTTTTAATATTGAGAGGGTGCCAATCGAATTAAATCGATCCTAATCTTCAAAAAGCACGTGTATAATTTTCACTACAGAGGGAGGTCTGTGCAATAAAGAATCGGTTCGAGATTATTTTGAGGATAATTTAATAACAATTTTTGAGTTCGATCGATAATTTTGTATGGCAACTATATGCTATATCGGTTCGATACCGGCGGTACAGACAAATGAGTAACTTCCGTTCCCACAACAGTCGGGTCTAAGTAACCGGAACAGACACCGGGAAACATTTATCGTCATTGCAGCATTTGAAGGACAAAATCCCTGACAAAAATTTCCCCTTTGAAGAAAAATAAAGAACTGTAGCTCAAATCAATGAAAACGATACAAAATTACCTCAAATTGTTTTAGTATTCACCGAATCATCCGGATCTGTTCGTCAAGGACTTTTTTCTGTTCTCGAACGACCATAGATTGTTCGTCGGATAGAAATTTACCCGTAATGAAGTAAAAACCCCGAGATACAAGTCGTAATATGCGCCATCATCTATAACGTAGCCGGTCATATACCTCGAATTTTATTAGTTTTTAGTAATTTATTTGTATTTTTGACATAATAATAATATAAAATGTATTTTTTAATACAATTTTATTTTTTTAGAAAATTTTTTTTTTAGAATTTTTTTTTTTACTCTGTAACTTTCCTTGTGTGTAATAAAATTAAATGTATTTTTTTAATATAATTAAATTTTTGTGGAATATTTTTTTTTTTGCTCTATTACCTTTCTTTTTATAATAAGAAAAAAAATTTTGACGAAAATGAGTTCTCTCATATTGCTTTGTGAGGGCAAACCCATGACTTATTTATTTAACGGACAGCCGGGCGTATGAGTAACATTAATTTCATATTTATGCCTGCATATTTATTTCATGAATAAAGGCCTATTTTTAAAGCGTACTGACCTCTAATATATTTTATTTACACAGATACATATGTACATATCTATTTAGTTGTGCTGACTTGCATTGTGAATGAAATATGCTAATTGCTGCGTTGCGATATGATATAATGAATGAATGAAATTTTGAATGAAAATATAAAACTTCAATATAATGTGTATTATGTTTACAAGAGCAATCGCCAATTTTACTTATGAGAATATCATATTGCCAAATACATTACTTAGACTATACTCATATGAATGTATGTACGTGCATATTATATGCAAATATTATTAAATATAATATTTAAAAATAATTGCGCGTTATTGGACATTATAATAAATTTTAAGCAGTGTGCATAAAAGGTATTTAATCGTATGTACTTCTGTGCTATTTTCCGAATTATGAGATTTCGAGACTTGAACACGGGATCCCGAAAAATTTCGGGATTATTTAGTAAAAACAGCATGAATGTCTATAATTGACAATTAAAAAATATTTAAAGCATAGTGCATAACATTTTTTTAAAACTGTGCTGATTTTCAAACTGTGGTACTTCAAAGTTAGTAAACGAAATCCTGAAAAATTTATGAAACTTCAGTAATTTTTATGCAGTGTGCATAAAAGCTATACAAAACGGCGTTGCTTTCTGAATTTTGAGATTTCAGGATTTGAACAAGGGATCCCTATATATTTCGGGATAAATAGTATTAAATTACAAAAATTTTAAGATTTTTGGATTGTTAGTAAAATTAATATGATTGCTATTAAATAGTAATAAAATATAAAAAAATTGTAGATTTCGGTATTTGAAAACGGGATCCCGAAAATTTCTGAACTGTTAATTAACTCTATATCAATGCTATTAAATAGTAATAAAATACAATTTTTAGATTTCGGTTTTTGAAAACGAAGTCCCGAAGAATTTCGGTATCTTTAGTAAAATCGATATGAATGCTGTTAAATATTATTAAAATCCAAAATATAATTTTTTCGAAATACTTATTATCCATGGTCAGGATGCTGGTATTTGCTCACAATTTTTCATTGGCGCAATATTAGATTAACAAAAAATATTTATTTATATTACATTATTTAATGCATTGAGAAACAATAAAATTTTTATATATTGTAAATATCGCTACTTTCAGCCTTCTATCCATATACCGATGTTTATATCTGCATTTTTATCGTTTGCTTTCATGTTTATATTCACATTGTTGTTGCTGTTTTTTTTTGTTGTATTAAAGTATTTTTATAAGGCGCGGAAAACATAGTGCCTACAATGTTGAAAGAAAAATCTGCGTGACTTGCATAAGGAAATATTTACATTTGTGTATGGTATACATATATACATATGTATGTACATATATATTTACATTCTAATTGTATATTGTTTTAAGCAGAGCAACGGAACCGTTTAATGGGTGCTTCCATTTTTTAGTTTTGCAGGCGCAAATAGAATCCCAAAATATAAATCTTTGTTTAAAGAAGAATGTACATACATATGTACATATGTATATACTAGGGTGGATAAAAGAATGATACTTTTTTGGCCTTGCATTCAATTTCCTACCTATGAAACGAGATATTTTTTCAAGTAGTTGGGAAAGAGTTATGAATTTTTCTGTCTGATAATGAGAATAGAATAGAAAGGTGTAAGGCGGGTGACATTCCCGTTGCAATTAAGAGCTCATACTTGGAGAGATATGGTAGAGGTGTCTAAGAAGCTATTTTCAAAGTACCCTAATATATATATGGTATATGTAACGATTGAGTCGATCCATAAGAGTTGTTGAGATATTATCATTATTGTTTTCAAGCACTGCCCTTTCCAATTTAACCATTATTATCAGAGATAAATGGCGAACTCGCATGAGACAAGTTTTTGATGACTTCACGACTTTCACTGAATGCTTTGTACCGCTAAAATACTTGTGTTTGTGATAAAGTAGACTCCCTAAAACACTTCTGCAATATTTTCAACGATTCCATAGCCGTGATTCCGTTGGAAACAAAAAAAGTTTTAACCTAACTCGTCGTTCAATATTTTTTCATGGTAAAAATCGTAAACTTCATACGAACGTGAAACAAAGTTTGTAGCGATCTAAGCGAAATTTGTTTTAACGATTCGATGGACCAGTCCGCGTCTTTTTCGATCAGATGGCATACACTCTTTGTCAAAAAAATGGTTACCATGTGATGGATTAACTTTAATACGATGCCTACCTAAACCATAACAAATAAGAGATCAAATTTTTATTTTTGAAAAGAAATATGAAAATTCAGGATAATATCAGTTTACACTGGTTAACAAAACTTTAACTTTTTTTTGTGACATGAAAACTGATATTATATTTTGAATGTACTAGGGCCAGTAAACAATTATATAATATATGAATGAAAAAGATTGATTCGCCAGGGTTTTTTTATGATAATGTTGATAATTATCAACTCTTAATTGCCTTTATTTGTGCTTTTTAGTGTATCGCCTTTGTGATTTTGTATTAGATAAGTTTCGAAAAATGTTCCTTTAGGGGGATCATATTGTTGTAGTTTTTATTGAAACGACAGAAAATATTCGCCAAATAATTGTGAAAAATACAAATTGGCAATCATTAGCTGGATAATGATCTGGGTCCGTTCTGGTTACATAGACCCGATCGGGATTCAATTTCAAATACTTGTGTAACACTATTTCTTCCTTAAGCATGGTGAAAAGAAATAATAATATTTTCGTTTTCGGCTCTGATTCTCATCAAATACAGGCCTGCTTCAAAGTCTATTGAATTTTCGAGAAACCTTTTCAGATATACTCCCGTATATTTGTCATGATCGACCGTGAAGCGAAGAATATTAGAATTTTTTTTTTAATATCTCGGATTCGGGATCGAAACCAGAACTTCTGGGGATGTAGGATTCTGATTTTCATATCATGTCTAGCAGATCATCTCCTGCTATTTTTAATGTACCTTTTGATATTATTCCTTGCATATATAAACGTCTAGATGTTATTCCTGCCAATGTTTTAATACTTGCATGTTTTGAAAATTTCTTTAAAAAAAACTATAAAAAACATATTTTGTGTAAAAAATCGTAATTTTATTTAAATAGTACTTTTTATTTAATATAGAGTTTGTAAACATTATAGTCTTAAATAGAATTACTAAATTATCATTACAACTAAAATAAAATCAAAAATTATTTATATTTATAAACTACATGTGAGCGTAGAAAAATAGCATAGAAGTATAGTGATTAATAATTTTACACGTGTGTGTGTGCTTGTAAGCAAAAGACAGTCATGAGAAGAGTCATAAAAAGGACGGATTACGATAAAGTTCAAAGTAATGCAGATGTTTACTTAGAAGTGAGCACACTGTGCATGTTTAGATATTTATATATTTAATTTTTTTTTTTTTAATTCTTATTTATATACAATTTTTTTTGTGTTTATCAAAATAAAAAGGCATATTTATGGAGCAATTTATGAAAGCGATACATATGTATATACTACGACGGCGAATCGAAACGTAAACACATTACTTTTGAAACATATCGAAAATGCTTTAAACACCCTCATTTCCGGTCGTGCAAACCTTTCGCACGTTTCCTGTTTATCTAAAGTTTCTTTCTTTTGCCTTGTGTATTTGTGTGTTTGTGTTCGCATATGCGCTTATGTGTGCTGTCTACAGTTACAGCCGTATGTTTTACGTTCACTACGGCGCTGAGCCGGTGCGTATCGGCGGGTGCGGCAACACCAATGCATCCATACGCTCCAGCCGTTTCTTCTTCGACTCTACAACAATTTGTGATGGCGCCGCTGCAGTGACGGCGATGGTTAGCAGATTTGCCGATGGCTGCAAAGCAGGCGTACGCGTGCCGAATAGTTTCTCTCGAAAACTGGGACGATGACCCAAACGATTTAGTTTGGCAGTTTTCTCTTTTTCCTTACGTTTCGTCTCCTCCAACTTTTTCTTTCTCAGCAATCTCGCCTTTTCGGCCAATTCGATTTTGTTGCGTTCCATCACTTCTTCCACATGTTTGTCCTTAAATGAGATGAGAGTAATATTATTATTTTTTTATTAAAATAAAAATTAAAAATTTAATTTCAAATTAAACAAAACTTGCTAGATCATAAATTTGCAGAATATTGTTATATTTTAGTAATTTAGAAAAATAAAATTTAATAATATTTTAAATTAATGGGATTTGAAATTCTTTGAATCACAATTATAATACTCTGAACAGGAAATATTACATTTGGCCTGAAGCCTGAAGAAACGTCGGGGACCGCATAAACTATATAAATGATTTTTATAAGTAGACATATGGTTTTCAAAAAGAAATAAAACGCATATAGTTTAATTTTAGAGCCAAGTATTTTGCTTTGACTGGCTTGAATAAATTCCAGCCGAGTTGTCTAATTTTGGAACACTTTTTGCTCGTGTAGTCCTACAATAATGACAGGCCTAGAGACAGTCACCTGAACTTACCCTATCCATACTCAATAATATTATAGTACTTACTTACATACAATACTTGACGCTGCTTATCGCGTTTAGCGAGCAACACCACCCAACCGCCATAAGACACCATAATTATCACCGGCACCAGAATGCCCGCCAGGCCATTGGCTTTCTTTAGCCACATATTATAGAGTCCCACAAATATAACTAGAAATGCTACAATGGCTGCTATGAGACGTCCATTCGCTTTTCGCTCTTCCTGAAATAAAAATACAGATTTTTGAAGTACTCTTTACTATTTTTAAGTTAAAATAATTTTTTTTTTTTATATTAGAAACTGAAATATTATTGATAAGGTAGAAGGATTAAAAAGAGAGTTTTTGAGTGTCTCAAAAATTAAATTTTAAATTTAATGCTGGCGCCGAACCAACTTTGCTCCTATACGAGTTGACATTTTTGATAACAGTTTAGTCTTTTGATTACTTGGCCTTGCTTAGCCTACTCTCTGCTCGCTAAATTTGGTATTTTCTCTCTTCTCAAAGAACTTATATGAGAAAAAGCAACAAAAGTATCCAGTCGAATTTTTTTCAAAATAATATGTGTACCAATACCTCGTTAAAGTGATATAACTGTTTGCTTTTCAATTAAAATATGTTTATCCCAATCTATTTGATTTATACCAGTTGCTCGTTCGATTCGACACTCCCCATTGTTTGATTTTTTGAGCTAAACCTATTATATACATACATACGTATAAACTGTTATATATCCATTCTGCAAACAATGCACACGAATTTGAGACCAGGAAGTTAAAAAAACCATAGGCGAAATAAAAACCCATTAAATTGCAATTAATTTCAGTTGTTATATGCCACATGCGGTCATTGATTTTCTTTTTAGTTGTTGTATGCCCATAAACAAATATAAAGTATAATTTTAAAATCATCGAAATCCTACTAAATGGTGACTAACCAGCCACATCAATTGCACACGTGTCTCAACGAGTAGGTGTACAACATTTTTATAAGATTACGATGTGATGTACAAATTATTTAGTTTGTTTAGTGTTTGGAAATGTGTGCTTGGTGATTGAAAAGTTAGGAATAGGCCTTAGTTCTGCTAGCTACTGCGCGTGGCTTCCGTGTACCATTAATGAATCATATACTTGTATATCTATGCTTCATACACTCGCGGTTGCAAACGTTTTACTTTACTTGCAATATTTTATCGTTGTTGTTTTAATGATTAAATAAAAAAATTAAAATTTATAAATACTTTTAAAAATTACTTAGGCCTGATGACTCAGAAATTATTAAATGGACTTGTGTAGATTAGCTCGTATGCTAGAAGTAAATATAAGGTATGTTATCTGTTATTGTTTGAAAAATAACGCGTCTCGATTTCGTGTTTTTTTAATAGTTTAGAGATAGATTGTGCTTCATTGTAGATTTCGAATTTATGATTAGTTTGTGAAAGATTAAGTTTCATGTACTCGAAAGAAAAAAGGTTTTTGTCTAATAAGCTATTTTTCCAAAAACCAGCCGCTACTTTTTGCAAAACTCCGAACTTATAGTGTTGAAAACCGGATTTAATCAAAAAGTGTCTGAATATAAATAATATTTAAGTCAAAAATTACATTACGGTACATGTAGAGTACTTTAAAAGTTTTCACGCATAAAATGGAATAGGGCCGCCTATATTATATTTTTAATTTATTTTCAATAAATTTTAATTTTAGTAGGTAAAAATCCATAAAATTTAGCAAAGAAATATGAGCATATAATGTTGTTGCTACCTATTTTTAAATATAATATAAAGAACTAGTTATTAATACAATATATGTGGAGGGTATTTTTCTTATCATTATAGCTAAATATATATAATATATATATTATTTTTTAGCTACATCATTATAATATAAATTAAATACAACTTTAGTTTTCTCTAGTCGCCTCATCGCTGTTTAGAAATTTTATATTTAGTCCAACAAACATTGGATCTATTTTTCATTCAAGTTTCCATAGAATTTTCAAACTACAAATATCCCAGAGATTGTAGATGGCCCAGAGAACTACTGGATGTCCCTTAGTGAAATATACCACTCTAAATTTTATCAATTCTCTTGTAATTATGTTTCCCGATATTTTTAAGTGCTACAATTCATTACTACTATGTCAAAACATATCCCAAACAGTATGGTTGACTTTCATTTTAGAATAAAATGAAATTATCTCTTAATTTTTTTGTGAAGACTCTGTATAGTTTTTAGTCGGATACCGAAAAGACGAGAGAGATCTTGTAATCCTCTACCACCACAGAGGTGTTTTCTAATATAGTAATCAGTTGCTTAGTATATACATTGGAATTATGTGTTGAGATCCGAACTGCGAATTTTTTAAGTAAAAAATTTGGGATTAAAAAATTTTTTTTTATCACGATGTTATGATCAAAAACTAGAATTTAATTTTTTAATCCAAGATGCTTGGGATTATAAATTGAAAATTGTAAATATTACTTTTTGATTTGAATGAACTCGAGAAAATATTAATTCTAAACCAAATTTTTTTTAACTCCTAACTATATGCTTAAGATTGAAATGTTTTTTATTTTTCAATGAGGGATTTGGGATTAATAATTAAAAATAAATTTTGAATCCGATTTTTGGGATACCATTTTTTTTTTTTATTAATTTTTCAGTTCGGTATGCGGAATCAATTTTTTTTTATATATTTTTAATATTTTATATATTTTTAAATCCCGTTTTTGGTCTACAAAAAAAAATTAATTCAAATGTTAATTAAATTATTTTTTAATGCATTATTTGCAACCCTAATTGAGATATGGTGAATTTATGTGTGCTGGGCTTTCTAGCTCTTTATATGCCTTCTCTTCAATATCAGCTTTATTTATACATACATATATATCCTGCTGTTATAATTTGTCTAATAGAAAGTAAGTCAAAAATTAAAAGAACATTCTACGCAAATATGAAATTTTTAAAAGCGATTGTGATCATAACTTTTAAGCTTTTTTTATTGTTATTTTTAAATTAATCAATTTTTAATTTACAGCTGGAATTTTTCAAAATAGTTAAATAAAAAGTAATGGAATTCATAATTTTTGTAGAATTTTTATTTTAGAGAAAATTATTATTGTATTTTACAACTATAAGAACGGAATTCCTAAAATATCTCATATCGACTTCTGATGTGTGTATAAAAGTCAACACGAGAATTTCTATAGACTCTTCCGAGCGGCGCGTGCGAATTTTGTATTATAAAATGTTGCTTTATTGCGAAATTTTCCCACCAAATTGTTTCATGTGATAGTTCAAGGAATCGCGTTGCATATAGCATATACTATATGCATGTTCAGCTACATATGCATATATGTACTTGTATGTGTGCATATATAGAGAAAAAGCAATTAAAAATCGATTTACAAACGAAAGCCGCAAGGAAACGTAGATAGTATTGAGCACTTGTTTGATTGATGAAGAAGGTCATATTTAAATCGTCTCCAGCAACAATGTCAAAAGCACATCTAAAACAATATTGCATATATATATAGAAGGAATTTTAAATATGAAAATATGCATACATATATACATATATACACATACATGTACGACACATATACGAAATGATACTTAAATCTTTCCGAGGCGTTTTTAAGCAGAATTTTGGAAATTGCACTAATTTAATTATCTGCACACGGAGCTAAATACATAAAACGGTGAAATGATGAAAGCCTCGAAAGCTGTTTCGCTTCAGCGCAATAAAGTTACATATATTAAGATGTACGTTTGTCGATTTTCATGGTTCATCGTTTCGCTTTCATTATCATAAAACAATGATTTATTTGTTAAATCGCCTTCTTTATAATATACCGTTGTTGATGCGCTCATTCGAGATTTATGTCTTACAAAAATACAATTCTATTCGGTATATTCCAGTTGCCGACAACAGATGTGTATGTGTTTGTATGTTGTTGTTGGAAAAAACATCACCGAAAACAAAACAATTGTGTTTTCAATAATTGACAGCCTGCATATCTTAATCTCAGCAATTTTGACTGGTCCATCAATTTGAAATCCTCCAGACATGTGAGTGCTATTTATTTACTGTACGAAATGATACAGTATGTGTGCAAAGTGTAGCGCACATGCATATATAATATCTATATATATATGCCATAAATAGGTATTAAGTATAATATTTAGTCGTTTTCATACATACGTAGTATTCAGTATATCGAATATAGTATTTCTTGTACCGAATGAGTTGACGTAGTGCTTTGAATATTAAATTTAGCACAATGTTTTAATAATTGAAAAAAAAACAACACTTTTAATTACATGTGTTTACATAGAAAGATATGTAATATATTTATACTCGTGCATCCGCACATTCTTATACCGGATGAGCACTGATTTCCATAATTAACACCTTTGATCTATAAATTGTGGAATCTGCGTGGCTGCTATCGAAATATAAAAACTTTATTAGGCGTTATTAAAGCGTTTTTGTAGTGAGTGATCAATACAAAAAAAAAAATAAGTTCAAACAGATGGTATATGACTAAAAAGATGCGCTTCTTTTTTAGGAAACAAGCTTTAAAAACAAACTTTATCGTTCCCTGAGCGGTCGGGTCTAAGTATAGTTTTTTTTTACTTAGCCTGAGGGTAAAATCTGTAGATTGGACAAAAAAAATTTTATTTAACATCTAGAGTAAGTTTTCGAGTGAAAATTATTATTTCGTAAAAAAGTTTTGATAAGTGTTCTAGAAGCTGTGGAGAGTCCTCTTTCTGGCCAATTAAAAGTTATCAACTTAAAAAAAATGTTTGTGGTCATTATTGGAGTTTTAAAAAAAGTCTTAAACGACAGCATGCTTTCCTTAAGCTTTAAAATAAATTTTGAATCAAAAACCGTCGCATTTGGTAATTTTTATATAAATGTAAAGAGTTTAAACTAAAAATAATTTTTTTGTGTTCAAAAAAAATTTTAACTCGAAATTTACTTTAAAAGTAAGTGGATCACCTGTAGATGTTAAAAAAAATTGTTTTTTCCAAAAATTTTAATTTTTTATACTCTACAAATTTTACCCTCAGGTTAAGCAAAAAAAAAATTTTTTTTTCGCTCCACCCTAATGTATAGGAAACAGACGAGATATTATATTCAGCCAAGGGCTGTCAACTAGGCAGTATTTCCCATAACTAGTTATAAATATTTCATGAGGCAACAACAACAATAACAGCGTTTCCCCAAAACACTGTTGTTTCGAAGTTTTATAAAAAAGTTCACAAATAATAGTTTGTACGCAGGGAGTTATTTATATTATCAAAGAGTGAAGCCTATAATATTACTAATATTTAAAAAGGTAAGGTAAAGCGATCTCAACGCTGTTAGTTCTTCTCAATTAATTTAGCAGATATCTCTAAAATGCTCTAGCCTTTTAAGCTGCCGGGCCAATGTTGTATAATTCAAGCAGAGGTTTTTGCTATAACCTAAGCAGAGGTTATCGCCTAACCTCTAAATGATCTTAAGAAATACTCGTAATTTTTAGTAGATGGTTTCCAAGAAAAGCTACCAGTCCAGGAAAAATCAATCGATAATACTACAACAATTCGGCTTCAACACTAAGCGTATTTATTTAGCTGAAGATATACCTTATAAGGCCTAATAGGGCAGGTGGCGTCATAGACTATAGAATGAGAATAGGCAATGTAAAAAAACTGTCAAACAGCCTGTAAACTGTGAACAAACTCGTAAGCACTTCTATATACGGCACCGATGTAAATTTGGTTTTGTAATGCTTGGTCCAATCTGTCACAGCTAAAACAAAAAAAGTTACAGTAAAACTTGGTGTAATCTTTATCTCTATCATTCTTGAAGAATATGCATTAAAACTTTAGAAATATTATCCCTCAGAATTATTATATAAGTCAATGTTTGTTAATCTCACTCAACAAAAAGGAACATACTCGAGACCAACAGTATTTCAGCATATGTTTCATGATCCTACTTCGGTACCATTATTAAGTCAGTTTGATACGAGTTTCATTTCAATCCAATTTTCATTGGTGCTGGAGATTTGCTTGAGATCTGGGCAGACTAGTTGGTTACATCCTTAACAAAGGTTTCTTGTACAGGTTAGATGTTTGCAACCCTCTATAGCTCCCGTTCTCAATTTCAGCATCGAAATATAGTTTGTGACAGACTGGGAATAAATTTCAGTATTTCTACCAGACTTTTTTAAAATACTAGATGAGCTAGTCATTAGGTATCTTCCAATACAATAACTTCGAACCAAAACGAATTTGCTCCAGTCGGATGTTAGTCAGTTGCTATTTAAGAACTACACACCCTATTGGCCAAAGTAGATACTAGCATACTTTACTCAATGTAGGGTGCACGAAATTACATCGCCTTCTCTACGAACTATGGTCGACTTTCGATTATTTTTACAAAGTTAAGCTGAGCTTTTTATTTTTATGGAAACCTCTTATACAGAAAATGCTTTAAAACTGAGAAAGTTAATGCAATGCACTTTCTAATGACTTTTATACTTCACCGTTCTACGACAAATACACCAATAATATCTCAAATATATACATATATCCTAACACTCTTAAATCTTATTAAAAACTTACTCGATTCTTATTTTCGAGTAACTCCTTTAAATTCTCCTCGATGATCTCCTCATCGGTCATCGATTCCAGACTTTTCTTCACATGCGTGCTGCTGCCGCTTGAAACATCTGTAATTGAGATCGCTTCACTCTTCAAAGTCGCCTTGGAGTCTGACTTATGCAACGGTCTACCCAAACTGTTACTTTTTAGTGTGCTGTTCGATGCGTGGCGCGGTAAAGTGGCGGAAAGTGATTTCAAATCATTTTTTGATTCACCGCTGCGTAATGTCGATTTCGAATCGGTTTTAATTAAAACTCGGTGATCGCTTCTCAGTGAGGTCTTCGATTCGGCCTTCGAAAGCGTTGAATGTGTGGGTGCTGTGAGTTTTGTATCTGATTTTCTTCTTGGTTTTGTGTCGTTTTTAATTTGTATAATGAAATCATTATTTGTGTCGTTAACGGTTAGGATTTTTGAAATATGTTTGGAATCAGTTTTGTGAAGATTTTCATTGAAATGTTTTACACCATTTTTTGGCATAGTTTTGGGTAGAGTTCTGCTATGTGATTGATGTGTTGGCACTATAACTGTGTGTATGTTATTTTTAAAACGAACGCGTTCATTTTTGAAGTTGTCACGTTTTTCAAAAAGTATATCGTGTTTTGCATTATTATATGGTTTTGCGGAGTTACAGTTATTTTGTTCATTTTTCACTTCTAACTTTATGTGATCAGACATTGTTTTTTTTTTTTTTGTAATAAAAAGTAAAAATTTGTAAATAATATTTTTTTGGAATTTCTTAAAAAAATATTTAATTACAAACTAAAAAATATATTTGAGTTAAAAATTTTAAAATCAATTCACAATCCGTTTTCTATAAAATTTGTATTGTATGCACCGCTTACTGAATTGCTACTGAAAACTTTTAAGATTTCAAGAAGCGAAAAGTGCCGATCTCGCGATAATTTGCACACTTTCTCGGCAATCGTCGGCAATTTTTTCTATTTTTCGCTCTTCTTTAACACTTTGCAAATTTCGTGCACAGACAAGTGCTCACTATTGCCATTCGCACAGAAAAAAATCATGTAAACAAAATTTGAAAAAACAAAAAAAAAAAATTTTAATCTGAAAATAAAAAGTTTGAAAATATTAAGTAAACATTGCAAGCGCTCCCAAGCATATCACATTCGGCCAAATTAAACGAAGTCCATGAAGTTCGATTGTTTGTTTATCTTATATTAAATTAACCATAGAGGGATCGGCTGCGATCGTCGCCGAACAGTACACTTACATGTAGCGTGGTGCGCGAGCATTGTACAAGTAAGTTTTTACTTGGCTTGTTGTTGCTACTAATTGGCATTCAACGGCCATTCGCGAAGCAGCGGGTGTCGTTTATGCTCCTAAGTGCTCGTTGCTTACTGCCAGATGCATTTGTATGTCGGAAAGTATGCGTGTATTTATTTACAAATAACCATGAAACATGCTTGACAGCGGGTGCACAAGTGCGTATACGCAACCAAAACGGTTGTAATAGAAAAAGTTTAAATAAGCGGATAGACTATGTTACGATTACCTTTTTCGTATCATTACTATTTATTATTAGGCTGTTTAATGAATAAAATATTGTCTACAGCTGATCATATACATATACAGGTGTTGAAGTAAAAATATATATATGCATACAGTGGCGGTCAGTAAATTGTTTCAGTGTAATTGTATGATATTTTATTATGAGGTGAGACCAACGGCTGTTAAAAAGGCTTAAGTTTTACAATTTATTCTGGTAGTAAGGAAAAATGAATCGCGTTTCTTTTTTTCATGCTTAATTAAACATGTATTTGAGTGCCAAAAATATAGTTATTCTATATATTTTTTCTAAGAAATGTTTCGCGAAAAATGCGTTTATAGTTATACATGCTAAAGCTGATTTATCCTACCGCTTCGATGTTAAAGAGGATTATACAGAGAAACTTTGCAATTATATTATATAACATTGTTCAATTAATGATTTAAGCTCTCTTAAGTGTATTTTATTCCAAAAAATAATAGACTTTTTGAAAATTGTACACTGACTTAGTCCTTTAAAGCAAATTTATTTAATAAAATTCTGTACCAATTTATAAAAATTATTTTTATGGATTATCAAAGTTTTTTAAAATCATATATATTTACTGATTTTAAAATTTATTTTAAAATTTTTGTATATTTAAATTATATCGATTTCTTCCATTTGTTGTATTAATTTTCTTTATACTCATAGTATAATAATTTTTTTTTTTTTTTAATTATGAAGTTGTTAATAAAACAATTGTTGAAAAACATGCTCAACAAATTTATTTTAAATACATATTCAACTCTTTGAAATTTTGAAACCTATACATATAGTTATAAAATCGTGATTTAACCTATCCATTTTAAAATTCATATATTTGGATTGTTGACTTCGTTAAAAGCATACAGAAGAGTCATTGACCTCGGGTTGCTGACTCTGCTAAAGGTAAGCAAAAACGGGATTTACTTTGGGTTGTTGACATTGCTAAATGGAAACAAAAAGGTCATTGACCTTAGGATCGTATGTAAACAAAAGAGTCATGCCTCAGATTTTTGACATTGATAAATGTTAACCAAAGGGTCATTAACCTCATTAAACTCGGGCTGTTAATTTCGCTAAATGTAAACAAAAGTTTCTTGAGCTCGAAAAAGGTTATTGACTGAAGGAACGGTTGTTTGACTTCGGCAAGGGTATGTGACCTCACTAAGATTATTGACCCCCTTTAGGGTTAGCTACGCTAAAACGTGTAAATTTTCATCAAAAACTGCCCAAATCGGTCTACACATTTGCAAGATGCTAATATGCTCGATATGGTCTAAGGGCTTTAGTGACTATGGGATAATCAATAGCGTAAATATCGGTGAATTTATAAGATATGTTACTGAAATTAAAGTTCCAGTTTACTAAAAATGTAGCCTTCTTCTCCATGTATTTAACTTACATGCCTTAGCTCGGCAGCGGTATTTTCAAATCAATGACCTTATATAATATATTTTAACCAAGAAAACTCAGACCGATAAAGAGACCTAAAATCTGTATTCACCACAGACGACAACGGTAGAAGAAAGATCTAACACTATTTTTAACCTATAAACCTTAAAATCGTAATTTACTCTTAAAAAAATAATTTCTCTCAACAATTGTACCACCTTATTAGAATCACCCATATATATAAATATACATATATACATGCTCGTATATATATGTTATTATATGCAGTAATTTAATGTATTTTAATTGCTGCCTTACTTAATGTTTACAAATGAATATTTGCTTGAAATGTTGAAAGGTGTTTTGGTGGAAGATTCCGTTATATTGGCACACCAAAGTCTGCAACACGCCTTTGTTTTCATATTTGTGTGTAATTTACGATGTAAACAAAAAAGGGCCATAAAATAGGCAAACATGAAATACGATTTTTGCAAATTTTCCTCTTATTGCCGTTATTCGCACGAAAATCAAAACAAAATTTAAATGCGTAAGTTATATCATTTACATATGTATGTATGTATATCTATGCCATATGTGTATATACATACATACATTTTGGTATATACATTTGGATTTGTATACAGATGCTATTGCATATTTAACTAACGTTTGTTTATAGCAATATCAAATGTATGTGCATGTGTATATGTTCGCAGAGAAATGTAAATATTTAATTAATTTTTGGTACTAAATTTCTGAAAAATTAAAACATGCTTTTGCACACTTTACGGAAGTTCTACTCGCCAGAATTAGTATTTAGCTTCTAATTAATAAAAAAATGCACATTTACAAGGACCAAAACTAATATGCGATATCTTCGACTATAACAGTATCCGATACTGAGTTTATAAATATATCTTAAAAATGGTTTGACTACAGTTAGGGACTAACCTAACGCTTCTATATATATACTTTTGTTTTAAAGTTATAACTTTTTTTGATAAATATAATGGTCAGTTACTTTTTTGTTAATAATACTACTTTTTTAACAATTTTCGCTCGAGAAATATGATTTTTTCGAAAAGAAGAGTTTAAAAAACTTCATTAAGGAGCTATCAAATGATATCAACTCAGTCACTGCATTATTAACCATACCATATTTTCATATTGCATTTACTTTATTTTATGGTAAAATTGAATATATTTTAATTTCTTAATCACAAAAGAATTTCAACTGCTACAATTTTTGGTCAATAGAGGAAATGTAGGCGTGATTTTTCTTTATTAAAAGTTGATTAAAAATTTATTTTTGGAAACATTTTCTTATTCCTTATAAACTAAATTCTCACAAAAAAAAGAGAATCGTCATTTTCACTTTATTTACCCGTTATATACAGTTATACACGCTTTTATATAGTCAATTTAAAAGTAACTCCCCAATAAGTGCGTTCAGTGTCTTGCATCGACTTCCGTTTTGTGTGGAATCTAAGATTATGTTCCATACGAAATTTCGTTCCACTCTCGCAATGCTATAAGCAATTTACAGATGTCGCTGGAGGGAGCAGCAAGTGATTCATATGCACGTAAAGATAGATAATATGAGCCTAAAAGTATGCTATGTCAGATTGCTAATTGATTTAGAAATAAACTTTCCAATACTAAATAATAACTATATTATAAATAAAATTTAATAATTTCAGTTATTATCATAATAATAATAATTATAACAATCATTATACATATATTTATTATATATACATGTATGGCATTTAGCCATAGATGGAAAACATTATAGTGACTATTTAGAGTGATGTAGGCGAAGATAATCAATTCGGAAGGGGGAAGAAGTTGAAGGCGTGTCTACGGCGTCAAATTTGACAAATTTATGCGTCAAATGCCGTCTTTTTGGCGATGTAAACCTGTTTAGAACGAGTTTAGATATCCGGTACAACAACAACAAATATTTACATATATTAAAAAAATTACAATCAGCATAATATGTCCATTTAAGTCCACCAGGTAACAAAAATTATAAAGTTGGGTTAAAGGGTCAGAAAATTTATGGACCGATGTCATCAATTCATGGCATCATACCAGAGAACAACTGGCTGCAATGCTTGATATAAAGGTTACTAGAGGGATATAAATCATTATATAGGGTATAAGGAGACTATCGGCAAGTTTAAGCCTTTAGGAAATTCGATTTATTAGGACTAAATAAGGTAGATCTGAATATTTTTGTATTAAACTAGTCATACATTAAGAGCACTATCTGTACCAAGTTTGGTTTTAATATCCTTAATTATATTTCAGCTATTTTTTTGAAGTAAGATGATGATACAAAAGAGTTCTATATTTTTATTTATATATATTTATTTATATTATTTTTTCAAAGGCATTTCATTTAATGAATAAATAAAAAATGTATATTTACAGAATTGAATTAAGAATTTATTTTATATGTAATTAAGTTTATTAAGGAAAAATTTTGGATTCCGTGGATTCCCCATCCAATCTCCAAGGAAATCTCTGAAAAAAAGTGTCTGTCTGACGATGAGCAAAATTTTCTGCTTAAAATTATCACAAATCCAAAAACTAAAAAAATTTATTATTACTATAGATGAATGCAGATAATGATCGAAGGACTAGCAAAAATATTGATTTTTGACAAAATGGCGTCTACTCGAAAAAACGTCGTGTTTTTCTGTAAAAAAATATGCAATCTAGAGTGGCATAAAAATCGAAATTATTAACAAAAATTTTATTACTTCGATTATTAACTTTCAAATATATCTAAGAAGATCGCGTGAAAATTTCAAGTCGATCGATTTAGCCAGGAAATTGTCTTCACCGGCTGCATTTCGAGAAAAACGTGTTTACAGTTTTGGGAGCCGACTATTCTAAATTAAAATACTCTAACAGATACGCTCATATTTACGAAACCATTTGACAAATCAGCTTAAAATTTTTGGGGAATATTTTCGGACGGAAAGAAAACATAACATATATGAAAGGAAAATTTATTTACGGGCGATCTGAGATCGGGAAGAGCAAGGGGAGGGGCGTGGTTGAACTTTTAAGGGTTAAAAACGGTTTATCACGTGTTTCGGCGAAACTACGCGCCCTATAGAAGATAGTTATATGGCACAGTTGTAGGTAATGAAGAGATCCACAACTTTTGTATTAACACCTATGTACATATATATGTATATCATATTACCTCAAAACTTATGTAAAAAATGCAAATAGTCAAGTTTTATTTTTATTTTGTACCAAAAATTTTTTTTAAATTTTTTTTTATATAAGAAAAACATTTCATTTTCTCATGGAAATTTCATTATCTTAAACATTAGGTTACTAAATAGCCCGATAAAGCATATGTTTTACTAATGGTTTGAGCAAAAACTACTTTCTTAATTGTTTTTGTTTGGTTAACACCTCTTTCAATTTCTATTATATCCGATATGTTTATATCAATATGTACAATACAATTCAAATAAATACCTTTGTACTTACTCGTTTGTATGCAAACATTCAAAATAAGGACATGCAGGCGAATTATGGATAATAACTGAATTTATAAATACCAAGCTATGTAACTACACATAATTTAGTTATTTGTGTGTAGATGCGTTACAGTCTCAATATACCATAAATTTATTAATCGAACCGCACAGAAGTGAATAACATTTACGAGATTTGCAAATGCAGGCAGTGATACATATTTATTTGTAATATTTGCATATATAAATATATATATATATTTATATACATAACTGCATATATGTATATACATATGCATATACAAGTATACGCCACTGTATATAAATAAATTCTAACTGAAAAGGTGTTAGTGATTATGACCGTCAAAATTAATAGCTAGTATATACAAACATGTGTTTACAATATTTCCAACAAAAAATATTCCAAATAAAATTACACCGAAAATTTGGAAATAAATGAGGGGTAATGCAGTGGCCAATTTTCACTAGAAATTCCGACTATATAACACAGCATCCACGTCTTTGGGGGTGGATTTCATTAAAAAAAAAACACTTTTGGCAGCTAACAAATATATAATCAATATGTACATGTACATGCTAGTAAATGCATACAAACGCAAATTTACCTCCAACGGGGTCAATGGATGCTCACAGCGTAGACACCATATTGTCATGCTCATTGAATATGTTCCACAGCGCTTATTGGATAAGCAGCGCAGCGGTGCGAAAGAGCAGACAGAACAACTGCGACGCTTGGCCAGGCAGCAGCAAACACGCCCACACTAATGCGCACTCACTCTCACTGATGGGGGCGGCATTGCATATACGAGAGCAGCAAAAGCAGGTATACGAGAAAGGTTTATAAGTGCTTATACATAAATGATGCCACACCGCATGTATGTATGTACATATGTCTATGTATATATAGTTATATATTTATGATGTAGCTGCAAATATATGTAGCTCTATAGCACATACGCATCTATGTATATATTTATATGTTTGTATATATGAATATGTATATGCAATCAGGTAACTATAAACGTAATATAGAATATATGCACATATGTACATACATATTGAAATATATCTACGTCTTGAAAGTTACTGAACCAACTGGGACTGGGATTAATGATGAGTCAATTAACTCTACATTCTTGGAAGCCATAGTTACTGTCTTCCGAACTCTTTCTCCTCATTTGCCCGCAACGTTCGCAGCTCATCTGCTTTAACTGTTTATTTGCTGCTTTTATTTTGCTTTTTAATTAAGTTTGAAAAAAAAAAAATAGACGTTGCACTAATAGAAATTGTCAGCGTCATGTAGAAACGAAGCACGCCCGAACAGGTGTTTGACAGCGCTGCTCTGCGGCGGTGGCTCCCACTGTTGACCTGAAGAAGATCTGTCAGTTGACAAATAGCTACGAACTTTGAATTTTTCAAATGAAACTTGACAACTCCACCTTTTTGACAGAGCACTTGGTCGGTACAACCTTGGCAGCTACATATACATATATAATAATATATATAATATATATGTATATACATACATATATGTATAATATAAATTTAATGTTTGAAACTTTGCGTTTGTAAAGCGTGACCAAAAAGTGCACACACAAACACATGTTCTTCGATACACATACACATATACATGTATGCATCTATGTATGTTCACATAACCATTTGATTTGCTAATTCTACCAGTTTTTTTAAAGTAATTTTAATTACAATATTTACGTCTGCCCGCTTAGTTGAAAGCAGAAGAGTTCAGCATTGGGTTTGAGTGACGCGTTGACGTTTGAAGGTGAGCTGTAATATGCGTATACATAATACATACCTACACTGGCATATATGCATTGATATGCTGATATGTGAACTTCGTTCGGTTGTGTGCATGTTCATGCGTGTGTGTGTTGATATATTCATATCTGAACATTTATCACTCAATACAAATAAGTTTGTTTTCAATTTCATGTGGTTTTCACATTGGACGCCTCAGTGACTTCAAACAATTAATGAGTAAGATTTCAAGCTAAATTTTTCACAAAACTTGTCAAACATTTAATTAACAATTTTTATTTTAAATTGTTTATTAAATTCATGTACTAAGCTTGATCAACAAAATATAAAAAAAATATAATTTAAAATTTTTTTTTCTAATGGCGCTTGTCCTCGACTTACCGTGCTACGCTTCAAAGGTTTGAAACAAACTTCACATAAAATCATGAAGCCTTCTAAGAAATCTTAAAACTATAAGTTTTTTAAATTTAATTAATAAGCTCGACTCAACATTTAACTAATATTTGTTGATGGAATGATGTAGTTTTGACTCAACGCAAAAAAAATTAAAAATATAAAAAAAAATGTTGCTTATATGTAATAAAAACTGTAAAATAAAATTAAACAGCTAGCGACAGCAGCAAAATAATTGTTGTTCGGTTATTGCTAATATGCCACAAAATTAAAATGCATTTGCAATTTCTCATTCACTCGAATTTAAGATGGACCTCTCTGAGCAGCTATATACAATACTTAACGAGGCTGCAGAGAGTGCGTAAAACTTTCTTAATCTGATGTTGAAAAATTCTAATATACTGTTGACAGATAATGCTTCTTAAGCGTGTACAACTTCCGGCGTGTGCCGGTAACCATTGATGAACAATCGGGCTGTTAGTTCCATTAAAAATTTGATAAGAGTGCCATGGAATCTAATGGATCTAAAGTAAATTGTGGACAAAAAGCAATAGCATCACTAGCAGGCTTCTATAACATATATATATAATTATAATTTTGAAATTTTCTCCACTCTGGAATGAGAGACAATTGAGAAGGAAAATTTTTTTACGAAGTACATACGAGTGTTCAAAGAAAAACAGAAATTTAAACATTTCGCGGGTTTTGAGACTCCAATTGTCAAAATTTTTTTATTTTTATTATGTTGATATATATATATGTACATGTGCTCTATTTTTTTTTAGTAGAGCATATGTGTATGTACTAATAAAAGACTTCTTCAATGTATTTTAAAATAAGTCTCTACATTTTTTTTTCAAATTAGAAAATCAATCAGTTTTATAAAAACAGTGTTTAGCACACTTAAAATTATGATGAACCCAATTCTCAGCATTTCAAAGTCCGTTTATTGAACCAAAATGGATTGTAGATAAAAACTTACGACTCAAAATCAAAAAAGATTCAAGTTATTTTCACTTATATTTTTTTTAACAAACATCAACTGTAATTTCTATGCTTCTTAATAGTCGTCTTATAAAATATAAGTTTAACAACACCAAGGTCAGAATCGAACTTTTAGAATATATCGGGTTTGCAATAGGGGTAATATGATTTTTAAGTATCGTTTCGGCAATTTTTAATACATATGTCATGGTCTGTATTTTTTTGTTCATTGTGTTCAATAATGTTTACAGCTTCATCATGGGAAGACATACATAAGAACAACATTTACAAATTATTCAATTTTATTATCAAAATAATAGTTCGCCAAATGCAATTTTTTAAATAAAATCATCTTCTCCAATGCGGCTCACTTTAATCTGAGTGGTGCGGTAAATAAACAAAACTGTCGATTCCGGAAAAAAACTCCCCAAATTATTCATATCCAACCATTTCATTTACCAAAATTGACAGTTTGGTCTGGTGGAATCATCGGTCCGTACTTCTTTCGAAATAGTATATAGCGATGATAACCAACTTTTTATGGCTGCAACTGAAAAAAGTGGATCTTGACAACATCTGGTTCCAACAAGACGGGGCTATGTGCCACACAGCACGTGCAACGACCGAACTATTGCGAGAAAAGTTTGGAGATTCGATAATTTTCAGAAATTATGACATTGAATGGCATCCAAGAAGTTGTGATTTAACACCATTAGACTACTTCTGATGGGGTAATTTGAAGTCGTTGGTCTTTAGCAATAAACCAGACTCTCTTAAAGCTTTAGAAGTCAATGTCGAACGTGCTATTCATGACATACGACTTGATTTAGTGGAAAAAGTACTCGAAAATTCTATTCATCGAATTCGCTCCGGCAAAAGATGTCATGAAGGTTATTTAAATGATGTTATATTTATTATCATTCATTTTCATTCTTATTATTATTCATATTCATTAAATAAAAAATATTTGAATTTTCTAATATAACTTTTTTTTTTAAATCATAACACTCTTATTGGCAAACCCGTTATCTGACAACTTTTTTTCAATAATACCACATCATTTGGTATGATTTTTTATACACTTCAGTCTTGTGAGATTTTATAAAAACACTAGTTAATATTATATAATATGTCAATAATATGATCGTGCTGATTGCTTGAGTTGCATAAAATGAAATCAACTAAAGCTAGCAGTTTATTTCAATAAGAAATTCTTTCTAACAAAATTAAAACACAAAATAAATAATTTTTATAAGTAAATCTAGTACTCAGTTTAAAATATCGTTCTAATATCTCTTTCAGGTTTATTGAGAACTAATACGAAATGTCATGGATTGAGGAGAGAAAAGAACGGAATTCGTTGTTGTGAGTACGAAATTGATAATAAATTTTATTACATATTTACTTTTCAATCCAACATTATTGCGACCAGCAAAATTTTGCTATTTCATACTAATACTCGTATAGCTAAAACAGTCTTATATATAATATATATATCATACAGAGGTATAAAGATGTAGTTCAAACTTATATTCCAAATTAGAACTTAAATTTGGGCTTTGTTAAGTCACTTCGGGCATTTAGTCAAAAAAATTGCTGATGTATCCATGCCTTCTTTCTGAACGAATTCTCCAAAAAAATCGGTATGATACTGAGGTTTTTGTGAATTTTCTGTTTTTAATCAGGAAATTCTAGTGAAGTAACTATGATAGATATGGAAGTTTTAATAAGAAGAAGAAGAATATATTACTAATATATTGGTATACCTTCTGATCAAACTTGACCCGGACTGGTCCAAATATTATTGTATATAAATATAATAAATATTTTATTTCTAGATTGCTACAACGTTATTTTTTATGTTTGTATAAAGTTTGATCTCCTTATATTAATTAGTGTGTGTTTGGCAGCTGTTTGTTTACGACACGAAAAAATTCTCTTGATTTTTTGTGTTTCCGATAGAGTCACAGCTATGGAATCGTTGAAAATGTTGCAGAATTGTTTTGAGGACTCCACTTATGCATGAACACAAGTATTTGAGTAGCACAAAGCATGCAGTGAAGGTCGTGAAGTCATCGACACCTTGCCTCATCTACCTTTTAATGGCGATAACATCGAAAAAGTTAAAGAAATAGTGCTTCAAAAACGTCGCATAGGCATCAGAGAGACAGCAGAGTATTTCAACATCTATTATGAATCTACCATTTTGGTTATTGTTTTGGGTATGAAGCGTGTCAATGCTAGACTCGTATCCAATGTTGTGAATGTTTTGCAAAAATGACGCTAGTTGGAGGACACAAAAGGGATGCTTGACAAGACGTTTATGAATATAACGTAGAAATTGTAAAACAATCTAGCGCATGGCGCTCCAAAAATAAGACGAAACCAAAAAAACCAAAATTCGCTGAAGGCATAAACGCCTAGCTGAGGCTTATAACAAGTAGATGAAAACTTGCATAAAGCGTTGCAACGCTTGTATTGGCTCAGATGCCTATTTTGCAGGCGATAACAAAAGTTTTATTTTTCTCAATCCGGTTCACATTTGATCAGATGGTATATTTTTATACCGATTTATCTACACGAATTTTTAGTTGATAAAGCGATAAATACAGTTTTCTGCTGGCTAGCTACATAGATCTATTTATACATATATGTATATTTTTATTCGCTTACGCACACATATGCAAGTTCACTTCATAAGTGTATGGTTGTCGAAAATCACTTTAAGGATTTCCACTTGATTGCAGATGAACAAGAAATCACAACAAATTGACAGGCAACAACGAATTACAAAAACAAACAGAGCATAAAAAAAATGTTTGTATGTTTTTATGTATGTATTTACATACTTGTTTTCCTACCTACAAATAAATAAATATTGTAAATGCAAAATAAGAATAAGCTGTTGAAAAACAAAAGACAGCAATGTTTTTCAATTGCATGCCAAATTATGTCCAGAGTGGACAAACGGCAAAGAGGATGCACGCAGGCGAGCGTATGTGAACATATACACACACACGCACATGCATATAGAACATATGTACATATGCGATGATGGGCAGCACAATTGTCTGCGAAAGGTAATGTCCTGTTGGCAAGTAATTAAGACCGCATGTATTCAACATTTCGATATACATGTGTGTATGTGTGTTTGCTCTGAATGGCAAGCCATCGAACAATGAAAATAAGAGAAAAATCGCAAAAATGAAAATTCGCCAATGCCCAGCACAAATAAGTGGCCTTATTGGCATTCAAGTGAAATTTACCATGGCAAACAATGCGCTGCAAATAAATTTCATAAAACAACAAAACGCGCACACACACACATGCATGGAATTTTGAGCAAACGGAAAATGCTGAAATTGAAAAATTATGGATAACACTCAAATGGTTTGCTGATTTAAGAAAATGGAATACGAAAAATATATAGAACAAAAATTTAAGAAAAATTAAAAAAAAACAAAAACAAGAAGAAACGTTAAATTAGAGTGTATCGGGGCTGCATTTCTTACATCATAAAAGGTTATACATTTTTTTCTTGATTTTGAACGGTCGGTTTGTAGGACAGCTATATGCTATGAAGGTTCGATATCGGCGATTCCAACAAATGAGCCGCTTCTTGGGGAGCAAGGGGCGTGTGCGAAATTTCAGAACGATATCTCTAAAACTGAGGGATTAGTTCGCGTTTCCTTCTGGGTATCACCAACTACGTGGCAAGCTTAGGTAATAAGTATACCCTGTTCAGGGTATAATTAAAAAACTAGGTAATACATACAAACATATTAATATGTATATATGCACTCTTGTGCATTTCATTCGATCACTAAAATCAAAAACACTATGCATCACAATGCCGCCGCCAAACAGAAGCGAATTTCCTAACGTTAGACAATGAGACGCGACGTCGGCCGAGGGATCGGCTGGCAATAGCATTTGGATACGTGATGGTGCTGGCGATAGTGATGGCGGCAAACACTCCCAAAATGAGTCTAATTGAAAGCGATGATCTGGAAATGTCGAAATAGGGTGCAGTGCAGCGGTGCTGCTCCAAATGTGAAAAGGTTCCACGCTACCACGAGCAATCACATATACATAAATGAATATACACATACATACATATATGTATATGTGTGTTTACGTGGCGGTTTCTGTTGTGAAATGCTGTGTGCAACAAATTATCGGCATTTGGTTTTTGATAATTCAAGCTGAAGAAAATTTCAAATTTCTACCTTTAAATTTGTATGCTTGCCACCACTGCTTTGCTATAGCTATGCATGCAGTATGTGTGTGCGTATGTGTGTTTTAAGTATATGGCTTTGATTGTGCTCGGCTGCCGCTGCTCCGTTGGAAATTAGAAATCAAGCTGATGGAGGCAATTTCATTTATTACATAACTTTATTATATTTGTGCTCCTTTTGATGTCAGTTAAGCAATCGAAAATCACTTTTCATTTTTCACCGCCTTAAACGGTAGTAGGAGGAAATTTCTAATTAATCGATTTATCCTTAATGAATGGCTTTCCAATAGGGTTGCTACAAGGGTGCGTAAATATGTTTCAGTATATATTTATGGAACTATTTGTTAGTAATATTTTAAGAAATTATCTGGAAGGACTCTATTAGAAGTGTTGGAAAATAATATTTGGTAAATTCAGAATTTTAAACTTAAAATTAAAAATGATTTAAAGTCTCCACTTTTTCTGTTATCATCGCTAAATTAGCGTTTTTAGCTTCAGCATGCGATTTTTAACCAAAAACGTAAAAATAAATCAATAAAAAATGTAATAAAATAATATAAAATACTTAACAATATTATAATTTATTTATATTCAAATATATATACTTTTTAGTTTTGTTAATATTTTATTGAAAATTTTATCAATGAATTAGTATGTTGTATTATTTTAAAAAAGTAGTTATTTACACAAAATATAAAAAGTTTCTTTTTAGAAATTTTTAATTTTTGAACAAGTTTAGATTGCGCTTGCCTCAGAACGAAGTTTTTTTTCTGTAGCATTTAGCCAAGTAAAACGTTTTCTGAAAGGGGTATTCTGATTTAAAAATTTAAAAAAATCTATTTCGCATATAATTGTAGTATTACTCTTTAAGAATATGATTCTAAAAAGATTTTTTGAAATTTCAATTATTTTGGAGTTACAGTTCATTTTGTGATGCGCCAACAAAGTCAACTGGCAGCTCAGTACGAGCTTTAAACTCGTTTTTCTCTTAACTACTTCCTTAACTACTTTTTTGACAATCTCAAGTTCTACTGAATCGATTTACTTGAAAATCCTACGAGAGGTTTTTTTTTTGTTTTTTTTTTTTAATTTCGAACGCAAAATTTTTTTTTCCAAAATTCTTTTATAGTTCTATAACTACCTTCCTTCCTCTTTAAGGATCATTCAATAAAAAATTTCTATTTCGGGTTACTGGAAGTCCTGATATCCTGCACACCAGGACACGCCAGTTTTTCATCAGTCCCCACTTTGCTAGCATTGAGTTAAAAATTTTTTTTTTTATATTATAATTGATCCTTAATCTTTTCATATCAATAAACAACATATAAAAAAATGTATGGTAAATATTTTTCTTGTTTTTTGTTAACGAGCCCGAAAAAGAGCCTAAAATTCAGACTTCTAGACCAGAATACCCCCTTAAGATCCTCAGATACGAAAGAATACTCTCATTTCAATGGCGTCCCCAAAAATTGCTTACAATAAAGACACTTCTTAACTATAAACATAAACAATTTTCGTAGAAAGCTAAAGGTAAAGAATTTATTGCTTGAATGAGTGAATATTGTCTGTATATATTGCAGGTAACTTGAACTTCTTGGAGGCACGCTATGACTGTATTTGTCTGCATTTTTAGCGATCACGTCAGTGTGCCCAAATATTTTGGAAGTATTGGCTCTATATATTATATATATTTCTATGTCATAACTTGTATATTATTCCATTGTTTCAATATTACGTAAACAGCAATACTTTTTTTCACTCAAATATGTTCAACTTTTCGCGGGTAAAATTGTTTTTGCGGTGAGCGAACGTGCCAAAAGTGGTTTGCGGGATTTAAAAGTGATGATATTGTTTTGAAAAACGAAAAACGTCCTAGTCGTATAAAAAATTCGTAGATGAAGAACTAAAAGCATTATTCGCTGAATATTGTTGCCAAACACAAGAAGGGCTCGCAAAATCTTTGGGAGTCACTGAAGCAGTAATTTCAAAACTTTTAAAAAGCAGGCAGCTACATTCAAAAGTAAAGACATTGCGTGCCATATAAATTGAAGCCAAGAGACGTTTGAAAGACGATTTTGTATCTCAGAAATGCTGTTTGAACGCTACAAAAAGAAGTCGTTTTGCAGCG